CGGGGTCCCGGGGGTAGGAACCGGGGCTTCCAGGAGCGGGAGGGCACAGGGACATGGGGTTCCTGAAGTACGGGCGTGGGGGGTCCCAGGGGCGTAGGGATCGCGGTTCCCGGGGGTATGAGGTCCCAAAGGGATGGAGTCCAAGTACGTGATGTCCTGGGGTGTGGGGCCCTGGGGCTAAGGGATGCAGAGGGCGCAGAATCCCGGGGCCATGGGATCCTGAGCCTGCGGGATCCGGGACACACACTCATGGGTCAAGGGCACACGGTGTCTGGGCCACAGCGGGCCTGTGCCCGGCGGCTGTGGGACACCCGGCCTCTGCAGACGGGCAGTGCCCGGCTACACGTGTGCCGGGGCAGGCGGTGTCACACCCCCGTGCCCGCCCTGGCAGGGCCCAGCCTGGCCTGTGCCAGTTCTTGGCCCCTGTGGGTGGCTCGGGCGGGGGCCTGGCCCTGCCCTTCGGCCAGCACACGTGTGTGCACACGTGCTTGTTGCTAAACTTGTGTCTCTGGGATGTCTCCGGAGAGTGACATTTGCCTGCAGCCGTTCCCTCTGACAGGCACCTGTCAGGTTTTAGGCTACAGAAGAGCAGGGAGATGATCATGGTGGGGGGGTGAGCCCAGCACTGCCCACAGCCCTGCACCAGGGGCTCCCCTTGGGCACCTGCAGCGCCTTGGCCCTGAAATGCACGTGTACAGTCACACACTGGGAAAGCAAGTGCTGCATTACTGGGATCTGCTCTCTCATAAGGCCTCCTTACTGATAGCAAATACTGGGATCTGCTCCATCCTTGACCCCCTGAGACCATTTCCCTCTTCCTCTCTGTGTTTGGCCCCAGTGTCTCCCCCTCTTGCAGCCATTGTCCTCTCAATCAGGAAGATCAGACTCTCTGGCATCTTCATGTGGGCAATGCCAGTTGCTGATGGATTCACAGGCCACAGCTCTGATTTCTCTGTCCTTGAAGTTGTCCTGCTGCTGCTGTTTGCTGCTGGAATGGAGACACTTGTGCACACTGAGGGGGATCACCAGACAGCGCCTGAAATGCTCTGCTTCCCTGCAGCTCTCTCTGTGAAGCTGCTCGGGGAGGCAGGAAGGGGGACCATGCTACCAACTGTCCTGATGACCACGATGAGTAAGAAGCTGGCGAGGAACAGCCATCCCCTTTGTTGTGCCTCTTCTGAACCCCCATTCAGCCAGGGAAACAAAGCCTAAACTGTGCTTGCTTTGCTTTGTAACTTCTTCCCTGCCAAGAAATGTTCACAGCAAACCCTGGGGATCTGTGAGGGGGTGCAGGGACATGGGGGAGCTGGGCAGGACACTGTCGCACTTTAAAACTCTTGCTGACCACATCTGAGGGAAGAGAATAGAAGAAGGATAACATCCCCTGATCTGCTTTGCTGGGGAGAATTACGTCCAGCGTTTGTCAGCACAATTCGTCATGGGAGGATCCCTGCGGATCCACCGCGGCTCCTGGCGTCCTGGATGTCAGCCACGGCACAGAAAATCCTCTTTCACTGCTTGTTTCCGACTCCAGGTGAAAACCCATTAAAGGCAGCCGCTCCACCACTCCCTGCTGCCACCAGGGCACTGACCTGTCAGTCACGTCCTGTCACTGCAGCCATGGATTGATACAAAATGCAGGACTGAAAAAATGGTTTAAAAACAGCTGCTTCTACAGCCCTTCCTTTCTGTCTGCCCGTGCCTTGCTGCCCATTGCTGATGGCAGTGGTACCCACCACATCTCCGTGTGCCTCCTGCTCTGGGGATGCCCTGATGAGAATCCCAAATCCTTTTCTAGCTGCTGCTAGGATGTTGCCTTTGATTTGGATGTCCAGTCTGGTGATGTAAAGTTGCCCAGCCCTTTCTGCTCATCCTGCACATATACCTGGGCAAGTCAGAGCCCAAATGGCAAGGCATTAGCACAGTTGCAAAGCCAAACTGGCTTTTTCATGGGAAATTAATGTCTTTGGTGTAGGAGTGGGAGCATTATTCACAGGCCAAGCTCTCCTATGGAGGTGGAGGGAATGGTTACAACCATAGTGTTCTTTTGCCCCAGCACTGGCTTAAAAATAGGCCAGAGCATGCCAAGTCCTTTCAGCCTTGCAGCTGGTGAGTAACCCTTTGCAAATTGTATTTGTCACATACATTTGAGGTGGGAGCCTGCCTGTAGGAAAGGCAGCCTGCCTGTGGGCTGCACTGGATTACACTTGGCCCCAAAATTGTTCATAGGGTGCAGTGCTTAGTACTAGTGATGTGACAGGACAGCCCAGAAAAATTTTACTTTTCTATATGTATATTTTTTTGCAGAGACCCATGAACATGATGTGTTTGTTTGCAGTCCAGCCTGGTTTTAATCACTTTGAATTAAGTAGCTGATCTTATTACCAATCTGACTATGAGAGGGCTTATCACAGGTTCCTTGGCACATGACAGGGATTACTCTATCTGTGCAGCCACATCCAAGTAACGTGACGTATTCTCTCGGAGCTATTTTCATCTTCACCCTACTCTGGGACCTTGATCCTTTGGTTTCTCCAGCCAGTGATCAACTAAAACCTTCTTAATACTACGGAAACCCCAACTACGTAATGGGACGGAGGGAAAAGCTCTGCCATTTCTTGTGGCAGATGTCATTTGCTTCCTAAGGCTTTCATTAAATTGAGGGCAGGATAATTTTGACATAATGGACCTGACTGTGCGTAATTAAAAGCAAAATAAAAATAGGCACTATCAGGGAGTACACTGAACAAAGTCTAGTGCTGGGTTTGAGCATGAGATTGAAGATGGGCAAAAAGTACATCCCTCATTCTTGAACAGAGCTGAAGGATACAGGGCTTACTCCAGTCCTTGCAAAGAATTCATGCATGGGTTTAACTCTGAACACTTACCAGTCTCCTCTGGAAAAAGGCAGGCTCAGGACCAAAGGTCAGCAGAGTTTGGACAACAGCTCCAGATCCCTGGTGGGCTGGAGCAGCACAGCTGCCACTTCACTTTTAGCCTCTGGGATCTTCATCAACAAGTCAGAGAGAAATGCCTATGTCCTGTTTAGCTAAAACTGCACATCTTCAGAGTGAAGTAAGGAATGAGGAGAGTCAGGGGTTTTGTGGTAGGGTTGCTGGGCTGGAATAGACACACTGTATGTCCCCCTCTCACCACAGGTACATCACTGATCTTCAGTGTAATCTCTCTGCCACCAGCATCCCACCTGCACACGGGGTGCAGTAACACTGTCAGGGATAATTTGCAAGTATATTGTTCTGGTCCTTGGGGCCTGGGCTCGGCGTGGGGAACCCTCTGCTCTGCTGTGCAGAGACACAGGACAGAGCTGCTGGCAGTCACTACAGGATTTGTTCTCCTTTGGTGAGGACATGCCATGTGAGGAGGTGGATGGCAGACCCAGGCACTCTGTTCAGCTCTGATGAAGAATAGCTGTTGCTGACACCTCGTGGAAGCCTCACACAAACATTTTCTCAGAAACCTTTCAGTTTCATTTCTTCTGTTGCTGCTGCTTCCCCGATGAGCTTTGTTTCTGTCATCTCAGGGCCCTTGGCTGCCTGCAGCACCAGGGATGGGAAGGCAGCAGGGGAAGCTGCCTGGGGCTGCCTGATAA